GTGTGGCACCTGTAACCAGCTGGTGTGTGTTTGGAGCACATGAAGGAGGTCCCCAGTGGTTGTGGAGCCACCCTGGGATCATAAAGAAACCCTCTTTAGGGAGAAAGTTGTGGGATCAGCCCTCCTTGGGAGTCCCCCTGGCTGTGAACAAGACTGAAATACTTTCAGAGCTTCAGGCAGTTGTCTGAAGGCACCTTGGACTTTTCCAGTTGACTCTACCCAGGAGGCTTAGAAGAAGCAGCTGACTGGAGTGGGCCACTCCACCCTGCAAGGCCTGTTTTCTATTTAGAAAGAATTTTAAGTTAGTTTTGTAAAAATGCATGAGTTACCAAACTGCATGCCTGATTGATCCTGCCTTTTTTAGTCCATGTATGTACGCATATGTGGATATATGTTGGTAAGGAGGCCCTGGGGCAGGGGCAGCCCAGATGTCATTGGCTGCTATCTGCAGGCCCCAACGACGCATAGGTTTGTGGGTGGCTTTTAATCTTTGATCTCTGAGTGTTCTGTAACGCACAGAGGAGAGTTTACATGCGGGGTACTCTGGAAGGAAGATGGTCATCCTGTTTACGCAGGAGCTGCTGTTTTGAGCCCCTGCCCCCTGGGTCTGTGGACTGGGCTGGGGAGAACAGCTTGGTAGAAGGGCCCTTGAAGTCAACTTTTCTGACTCCTCCATTGGACATGTGAGGAAACTGAGGCCCAGAGTGAGAAAGGACTTGTCCATGGCATCCCGGCTAGGACTGAGCCCATTGGTGGAGGGGGCATGAATGGCTTCTGAGTTCAGCACTCTTTCAGCTCCTGCTCCAGTGAGGGAGGGGGGTCTTCTGTCCTGTGCACCTACTGCAGCCCTGGCCTGCTGTAGGCCTCAGTGAACCTCGGGGGGAGGGGGGAGTTCAGTTAAGGTTTTGTGTTTTTTAGAGAAAACTCACATGAGACACTTTGCTGAGTGCCTTAATGGAACTCTTAACTCAGAGTTAGAAACCGCAGGGAGAGGCCAGTTCCTAGCAATCTGGAAAGGCCTGGCCCCAGACAGCCAGGTTTGCTCAGGTCTCTGAATAATAAAAGTCATGATCATTTATTGAACACCTGCTGTATGCCTCACATTGAGATGGGTAACCAGCCCTTGCTATTGAAGTGTGGGGGTAGGGGCAGTGCCATGTGGATAGATGTGTTGGGAGGGGTCCCTTGGATTGGATTTTGTGAGAAACAGTGACTCCTTAACTCCTTAGCACCCTATGACACCGATGGCCACTTTTCATTTTTTCTTCATGATTTTCTGCCCTTCAGGAAGTTTTCTGTTTATTCACACATTTTTCACTTTGTAATCAAAGAACAGCAATAGCTGTCATAATTCAGGACAGATTTAAGCACCGCACACTACTTACCGTTGCTGCTGGAGGAGGCTTGAAGTGACACAAGTCATCTCCTCAGCTCCCTGCCACCTTAGTCATGGCTAACGTGCCTTCCTTTTACTGAAGGGCAACAGAAGTCCTTGCTCCACCCAGATGTCAGAGAATGACACGATCCATTTACTAGAACCATGGTCACCCAGCCCTGACATTCAAAGGACCGCGGACCAGCCACCCACCCCCGGTTCCTGAAACCATTGACTCCTTCCTGAGTTAGTAGAAAATGAGATCTTGGAGTGAGGGGGTAAGCCATGCTCCCAGGGTCAAGTTTTCATTTAGAAGAGTTTCTAAAAAAAATTACAAGATATCTTCATGTTATATTCATAATATGTAAAGAGCTCTTCTGTATCACTAAGGAAAAATATCACATACCCAAATAGCAAAGGGCATGAATGTTTTACCATAAAAGTAGATCTGCAGGTGGCCAACATAAACCATTTCAAAAGGAAGTGATCCACGAGATAAGTCAGATTCCATAGATACTAGTTTATAATTAACAGATTAGCAAACACTGATGAAATGCCTATTAATTAAATTGGTTAAATAACGATACATCTATATTAATAATAGTTTCAGTAAGAAAAAAAATGTTTTTGACTTGCTCTCCCTCCTGGGAGCACACCCACACCTTTCCCTTCACCCTGTTCCCCCATAGGCATGTATCTCCTAAACTCTAAGGGACCCTAGAGACTTGCAGCCAGGGGAGCAGTGGGCAGCAGCAGCTCGTCCAGGCTAACCCCTGAATGTGTCTATCTCTAGGGTCCCCTTTTCTCTGACTACCCAGCAGCCCTGCCTTGGCTCACTTCTGTCACTTTGACTTTTATTTCTCAGTGTGCCAAAGCAGCCCTGCCTAGGCTCTCTCCTATTGCATCTTCTGTCCTAAGCTCTTCCTTTTTTCACTCTCCCCAGCTTTAATAAACATACTTTCAAAATTTTAAAAAATATGTTTTCTTTGACCACTTAACTGGGGTGGGGTGGGGGCAGGTAAGTGCTCATGACATTATTTAACAAAATTCAGCAACTAATTTTCTTTTTACTTTGCTGTGCTCTGAAATAGGGAAGTGTTTTATACTAAATGACATGTGCTAATTTAAAGAATTTAATTAGTGAAGCTTTCTAGACCTTTATACACAAAACGTTGTTTCCGGGCTGAAGGCTGAGGAAGAGTAGGTCTGGACTCTCCAAAGAAGTCACAGGAAAAGGGTTGTCTTGAGGCTGTTCTCCGCACAGATGTTTGTTTCCTTGTAAAGTGGGGGTGCTTGTTTCTACCTCAGAAGATCACCTTGAGGGCTCAGGGAGAGATGGTGTGAAAGCACCCAGCCTTTTCTGAGCCTCAGGCCAGATGGCTCCCACCATCCACACTACCCGGGCTGGGCCTCCACTAGATCTTCAGCACACCACAGCAGGAGCTCCACCTTTCCCATCCTCGACCCAAGAACAAGTCAGTTCCACAGAAGAGGGTTTAGGTTTCCCACCCACCTTCTAATCATTGTCATTGTTCATCCACCCACCCTGCTTGACTGGTGGACTTGAACAAAAAGACATGACTAATTGGTAAAAGACCATGCGTGTCCCCGGAGGGTGCCTCTGTTTTGGAAAGATGTCAGTTCTCCTTTAAATTTGTGTATACAGGGATGGGCAAAAGCAGGTAGCCACTTTCATTGGTGGTTGGTTAAATTACTAGCCACCATTAACTAAAAGATAAATCATAAATAAGGACACGAAATAACAATAATGATAATGGTAAGACAAATAATACAACAGTAAATAAATAATAATATAAGAATAAACTCTGTGTTTCCCATATCCATAATTGTAAACCTACTTTGATACACTAGGGCAGTGATTTTCAACTGGTGTGCTGCAAGAATTTTCAAAACATGGAATACCTGATATTTAGTCAGGGGCACTGACCTCTTTTCCCTAGATTGTCAAATTAAAAAATGACAACCAGTGGCTGTCTGGTGTGAATAAATCAAAATTATACCCTTTTTTTGGTCAGATAGGCAAAAAATGCATTTTTGGTGTGCTGCAGAATTTCAGTAATTAGTTCATGTGTGCCATGATGAAAAAGGTTGAAAATCACTGCCTTACAGGATGTTTGTCAGAATCTCATAATGACAGAAAGGGAGGGTTGCTTTTTTGTGGACAGAATCATTTTAAAATGTTGGGCCAGAGCAGCCAGCTCAACCCCACCCCATTCTCTTTACCCAGAGCCTGTTAAAACACCTACTGCGTGCCCATACTGAGTCCTCTTTTCTTTCAGATTACTGAGCTTTCCCAGTTTAGTAATATATTAATATTAATCCTCTACAGTCCTGAAGACCAAGCGGGGCAACAGCCATCCCCACTTTTTATAGGAAACTCATACACAAAGGTCATCTGACTTCCCATGGTCATCCCTTGCTGGTACAGGCACCTACGCTTGGACCCAGGTGTATCGCTTCCCGGGGGATCTGTTTGTTTGCTACGTGCAGTGTTTGTGGAATTCACACACTGCTTCATTCTTCCATCAGAGTTGGAAGTCAGGAGTTCTGTCTGGTTCCTATTTTCTGGCTGAGGAAAGGGAAGAAGTGACTTCTTCAAGGTGGGGATGGCACTCTGCATTTATAAGAGAGAAAGAGGCATTCCTGACCCCGAGTGGCTCACTTTTGTTTCTTAGAACCAGTCAGACCCCTGGGGAGGTGATTAGCGATTCAGTTTCAAATTCTTCCTGGTGGGGTTTTGGGACCACTGAGGGCCCAAGTGGGCTTCCTGCAGGAGGAGGACCTGGGAACTTCAGAATCCTGGGGAGGAGCAGGGCATGTGCCCAGGCAGGGCCGTCAGACCTGCATAGTCTTGAGCAGCCTCTTTCTGCCTGTGTGAGCACAGGACCAGGCACAGACACACTGACCACAGGAACAGGTGGGACACAGATTGTCTGGAAGGAGGCCAGGCTGAGGCGAGCAACGTCTGCTCACCCCTGGGAGGCATTTGTTGAGGCAGATGTACCAGGTAAATGCTGGAATTAGCAGCATTTAAACGGAAAAGTAATGACCCCTTCCCCTCCCACCTCCTACATTCTGTAGCCCACTTCCTGTCCTATAGCACCCAGGACCCTGGCAGGACCAACAACACACCTGCCCCCCCTCATTCTCCCCAGGGACATTTCCCAGCTGGGCTGTCTGTGTGTTCATTAAGTCTTGGGTATTTATTGGTCTTCTGCTCTGTGCAGCATATGCCAGCCTCTTAGAGAGGGTACAGACACTTAGGAAGCACCTCACCTGCCCAGAGGAACTTTCCCGTCCTGATAAAGCAGCTGAGTGGGTAAGGCAGGCCCTCCTTGCGTTCGTAGCAGCTACTGCATTCTGGCCACCCACTGCCGCTCCGCAGTGCGCATGCAGCGTGGTGGGCATTGTTCCCCCATTTTAGAGAAGAGGAAATGGAGGCTCAGAGTTCATCACTTGCCTAGGAAGGGACACTTGGAAAGATGGTATTGAGGAGGGTCTGTGGACGATGTAGGTGGACAAGGAGAGCCTGGGGACCTGGGGTGGGAACTTTGTGGCTCTCGTTGTGGGTACAGCCTAACACTTCGCCTTCTTGTCTCCACAGAGTGCAGCAGCCGCCCCGAGCCCAGTGCTTGGCAACATTCCCCCCAACGATGGGATGCCTGGAGGCCCCATCCCGCCGGGTTTCTTTCAGGTACGTGCTGGGCCCTGGGTTGGTCCTGTGCTCCCTTCACTCCAGGCCAGTCTCTGGCAGGCGGGAGGGAGGGAGAGAAAGAGAGGAATAAGTAGTAGCTCAGTTTGCCATGGTCTAAATACCGTTGCTTTATGCTGATTGGAGCCCTTCCCTTCCCATCCCTTTCTCCACCCCTTCCAAAAATGGAGGAGAGGAGAGAAGAGATGGAGAGCAGACACCTCCTGCATGTGCTGGAGTTTGTTTTCTTCACACCCGCTTCGCAGTCAGACACAGCCGCCCCTGGTCAGGCCGGCGGTGGGGCTGCTTCCAAGTCCACGTGAAGCTGTCTTTTAACAAAGGCTTTCTTTTTCTTAAACAAGTAAACTGTTCTTTGTTTCTGTTTTGTTGCTGCTGTCGTTGTCATTGTTTACTTTGCCTGTCCAAACTACAAACCTTAGGCATAATCTGAAAACACACAAAACCCACCATCCTGGCAGGTCTCAGAATCCTTTCCCTCTGGTTAACCACTTGATTTTTTCCGAGTGTGATCACAGACGGCGCCCCATGAGCATCTGTGCCCGCACTCTGCCCCGCCAAAGGCAGGAGCAATCCCACATTGGTTGAGAGCCTGGCCTTTTCCAAAAGACACCTTCTTGAGCTCTCAGGGCCTCTCCGTGTTGTCAGGGTTGGGTGCAGCTGCCACCCTCTCCGCACCTCCTCCTCTGTCTGCGCCATCGCCTCTGGGGGGCTCATTCTATTTAAGCCATATTGGGACCGGGAAGTGCCGTCTTGGAAAGGTGTTGGCATGCAGGGCTGGAAGGAACTTTTATGGTAAAGCTCTTGAGTGTAGCATCCCATTCTTTCAAACCTGTCTACTGCTGGGCTTGAGAATCTGCCTGAGTTCCCCAAGCCTTTTGCAAGGTTAGCACTTCCAGGTAAAAATGTGTAAGGAGCAGTTGTGTGGAAAAGAAGGCAAAGATTTTTCTGTGAAGCCCAAGAATTCTAAACTGTGACCAGTGAGGCAGAGTCCAAGGACATGGTGCTCAGTGGAAGCCAGAATTTCACACCATGTATTCCAGCAGTGAGACGTGGGCTACAGGATGCAGAGGGCTCCCTGGCACTGGAGTATTTGAGCAAAAATAGGATGGATACCTTGTAGGGATGTTAAAGATGAAGATGACCTAGAAGACACTTCTGCTTTGCAAGATTTCACATTATGATTGATGTCTAAGTCCCAGGAGAGAAGGGCTAGGACATGCTGCTCACCGCACACAAGGGAGTCAGTGAACTATGGATGTTCCCTGAAAACCCGAACAGCATGTGACCTACTGAGGTGGCAGTAAGGTGCCCCGAATGAGAGGGACATAGGGATGGCGGTTCAAGGCATTAGATGGCTACAAATGATGTATGCATTCCTAGCGTGCTTCCCAAACTGGGATCTTGTCCCAGGGGTGGAAGTGGGTATAGTCTCAGAAATTGGTGTGTAGGCTCCAGGTTGGACCAGTCCAGGCGTTGCCTGGGGATTGGCTTGGGGTAAGGCCTCAAGCATCGGGAAGAGGGCCCAGGCTTCAGAGAGAGAGAGAGCGAAACATTCAAATTCTTGGAAACCCATGTGTCCAAGAAAGACAGGAAGCAGGTGGGCTCTACTTTTCTCCCAGAGGGTAAACCCAAGGGGCTACTATCTGAGATGGTCATCCATGCCAAGGAGCAGCCATCTTCTGGCCACCACACCCAGGGCATGCCACACTCAGCTGGTAGTCTTTCCCATGGGTGTTGTATCTGTGGGGACTTTCTGACGATGCCCTCGATAGAACGCAGATGTGCCCTTCCCATCTAGTGGACCAAGTCCACCCAGGTACCATGCCCTGCCTATGTGTATTCCTGTTGAGGCTGCTCACTGCCATTTGGGTGCCCAGTATAAATGGTGGGAAGAGGTGGACAATAGCCAGCTGTATTTTTTAAAATAGGCCATTAACTTCTATTTTGGCCTGAGTCTGGGGCAAGGCAAGGTCTGCCTGATATGTGGGCAGCTCCCTACTTCCTGCTTTGGTATAATTGTCCATGGTTAAGGCTTAATTCCAGACATACTTCTTGGGCCCTCCCCTGTGACGTTCAGGAGTGTGTGGTCAGAAAGTCCAGACTGATTCCTGTCCTTATTTAGCTGCCACCAGCCACCATCACAAAAAGGTGACTTTTGGACCCTCTTGACTTGAGGTTTTCTCTGATCCCCTGTCAGGCTAAACCATCAAGAGCTGGCTGAATCACTCAGCAGGTAGCTGTGTGCCCTGGCCTCTACTTCCTGGGTGACCCTGGCTGACACTCTACCACTCCCCAGGGCATCATTTGCCCATCAGTCAGATGAAGGTGGAAAGGGTCTTTCCTGGCCTTGATGCTGAACCCCTCGGGCTGGGTCACTGCTAAGGGGAAAGGGTATCACTCTGGCTGGAGTTAGTGGCTTCCCATTTCCGGAGCAGGCCAGCTCACAACAGGAATATTAGCTATTGATTGCCAGCCCTGCCCCTCGCTCATCTTACAGGCGGCCACTCTGATATTAGAAGGGAAGTAGAGATGGTATCGAGGGTTTTATCTGCTGCCAACAATTGCACTTCTTCCCCTGCTTGGCTGCAGCCTGGGCAGGCAGCTCTGCTGTAGGTGGGTCTTTGCACTGAGGAGCCAGCCTGGGTTGGTTGATCCAGCTTTGGCCAGACCCTGCCCCAAAGTGGCCAGCCCAGTTTTCAGGTCAGCACTCCACATGCAGTTGGTGCTAAATTTAGAAGCCAGCAGGGCTCCCAGAGTGGGTGGGAGGGCACAGCTGTCCACCCCCGACTCTGGCCCCTCAGGAAGCAACAAATGGGACTCCCTTCCTCGGGCCTCTGGCTCCTGGGCTGAGGCTGCTCCTGGGGTCAGAAGGTCTGGCCTTCTGTCTCTCTACTCTTTCTTACTCGATACTTGGTTTCTGAGGTGGACAGTGCCTGCCTGGCCCTGTGGCATGAGATTGTGTCTGGTAGCAGCAGGTTGAGGGCTGGCAGGGAGGTGGTTTGGGACCGAACCATAGTCACTATTGAGGAATATTGTGGGGTTCTCAGGGTCATGGTAGAATTTAGCAAGGGCATTATAATTCCTTGTAAAAAGATTGCCTTAATCTTGGCATCCCCAGCACCTGGTGTCCACTAGAGCCCCAGGAAATGTTTGAACTGAGTTTATTTGTGTTGCTCACATTACCAGGAGTGGAGCCAAACCAGGCCCAAAGCTCTAGATCTGCCATTCTGACCAGGCTTGGAGGTTCTGGGCTAGGGTTCCACAGTGGGGAGGGGAATAGAGAACTAGAGCCTGAGGACGCTTGTTTTAGTGCCCCACCTCCTCTCACACACTTGCTGAGTGACTTTAGGCAAGTTGCTCCCCATCTCTGGGCTCAGTTTCCTCACCCATAGAAGAAGCTGGGTAGACCAGCTAGTCTCTAAGGGCCTTTCCAACTTAGATTTTCTGCTTTGGATTCAGATGGATTTTACATAATCAAGCAGTGACATTTTTTTTCATGCAGCTTAAGTTAGTTGGGCTGCACATCTGGCAAGCTCAGCTTGGCTTTGAACCAGGCCCACTGGTCTGGGTGGGTCCCCAACTCCTTGACCCTAAGGTGGTTCTAAGGGAGGCACTGCCCAATGAGGATTTCTAGGTCCAGAGCTGGGGAATTATGGGAGGGCAGGGGTCACGGAGAACAGAGCATTGAGTACAGGCTGTTTTTGTTCTTGTTTTGTTTTAAATTCCAATAATTGTTTTCAGTTATGTAGTGTTTTCAGACATGCAGCTTACTTTCATTTTGCTCACATTCTGCAGAGGAGGCCTGGCTGATTGGGAAAGTGAGACTCAGGAAGATTACCTGCCCAAAGTTAGCAGCCCTGGCTGTAATGGGAGCCTAAACCCAGGCTTCCTAGTTCCTGCTCCTAGTGCTCCAAGTGTAGATATCTACAGTATCTCCAAGTCTAGAGGAAGAAGAGAGACCAGGGAAAAGGAGAGAAAGAATGGAAGGAGAAGAAATCTATAGCCATCTTCTCTCAAAAGTAGCCAATGTTTCCATTCAAACACCAGCTGTGATTGGTTAGTGGTGGTGCTTAGAACACTGTGTTGAGAATGATTCTGGAGCTGCGTCCAAGCCTAACAGATACTGACTGGCCAGTTTTACCACAAACATGGGCACATAAATGGTAGTTCATGTCATGAACTAGTCCAACCCTAATCTCGCCCAGACTTCTCATTTGTAGATGTGGAGTGAAGGCCCAGAGGCAGGTGGGACTGTAGTTTGTGACGGTCATTGGCCTTCTGATGTGAAGGCACACGGACTGGCTCTAGTCCAGAACCGAGTTAACCATAGTCTGCCCACATGAACACCCAGCCTACCAGAGAGACTGACAGGTAAACCCATGTTCTATAGCAGGAAGTGAGAGATCTGCCTGCCCAGACAAGAGATTAGGGAGGGCTTCCTGGAGGCAGCACAGTCCTGGCTGGGACAGTGTTCAGAATGAGGTGATGTCCAGTGGGAGACGAAGCTGGAGAAGTTGCTGGCTTTTGTTGATGGATCCTGTTGGAAAGTGCAGGCTCTATCCGGTGGGCAGTGGGAAGCCACTGAAGTACCTGGGTTTGGATAATGCCTTGGCCAGGTCTACATTCCAGAACAGTTACTCTGCAATGGCTCCGTTGACTCTGGAGGCAAGGGCCTGGGTGCTGAACACATTGAAGGACACTGGCATTGCAGAGACCCAGCCAAGGTCATAGGGCTAACGACTGTGCCTGCTCTAGAAAAGACAGCCCTGGAGGACCCAGCTCCTTTTGCCAAAAGCTCAGCCCATCCTGCTCTGAACATATTTTCTGCTATGATGGGGGGCAGTATGGGTGACATGTCCCCCATTTCATTGAGGTCTGCCTCCAGAGAACCCTCTCAGTTACGGGAGAGGAGGAGTAAATGATGCATATGGCCCAGGAATCAGAGAAATGATCCAGAAAATAAAGGGGAGAGAGATGCACAC